TTACATGTGCAAATACTGTGCATTTGAGATCTAGGCCAACTCTTCGAAGAGACTGTCCCTGAGCTTTATTAATTGTAATGGCAAAGCATATTTTGAGGGGAAATTGTGTTCGCTTAATAGGTAGTCCCCTGTCGGTTGGTTGAAGTATAATTCTAGGAATCCAGTGTTTTTCATCCTTGTATGGTCCAGAAAAAACTTCAATCTCGACGACGTTTGGCATGGTTTGTGTCATAACACATCTTGTAACATTAATTAATTTTGGTGGGTTAAGAGAGTGGAGGACCATTACGGGCATACTTTACTTTTTTACTTTTATCCGCCGCTTATACCCTTTTGGGTGTCGCGGGAAGAAAGTGACGTCTCTCTGTCGCCAGCCGGAGAGCTTGGGTCAGGGGGATGCCGGGGGTGTTTAATGTTTCCCTGACTCCATCTATCCAGGTCATTACGGGAATACCAGTCTTTAATTTCAGAACATGGGGTGGAATGCCGGCAAGTTCAATGGAGTTCAGATATTCCAGGGGTTACATCGTTCTCGTTAAGTGTGGTATTTATAGACTGATAGACTTTGAGTGTAGACGACATCATGTCAATGAGTTTTTTTTATATTTTTGAGACTGTTTCATTTAAAGGAGCTAGTATGGCCCTTTCTGACAGCCACTGCAAATTTTCCAAATTGTCTGCGAAACCGGGAAAAACTTGATTGATGAGATTTTCAATAGAAGTAGAAACTTTTCCAAGTTCGAGAACGCTGATTTTGTCTGGTTCAACAACAACTGATTTCCTCTGGTCCTCAATGTTCAATAATAATTTGGAGAATGAGTCTTCTTCAAAGCCATCATGTAAGTGAACTCGCATGTTTGTGGTGAGGTTCAGTGTTTTCACATCTGTCCGCAAATAGGACTTTTTGCGTTCAGCTCAGGTGCTTTGTCAAGTACTATGATGACACTGCAGTCACCGATGAGCCTTGCTAAGGATGTTCTCTTCTTGATAGAACACATTGGTGTGTCGCATCTAGCTACATCCTAAGGTACTTTAAAGGTATTGTGTACAGTTCTACCCCCTGTAATCCACTGCTGGCTGTTGCAATTGCAATTCTTTCTTCAGATCGAATTGTTGCCATTAAATCTTTTAGAAGGAATGTAGCGTCAAGAAAAAATACTCACTTTGCTTTGTTACGGACAGCTGTCATAAAGGTGTTAAATACATACTTCTGGTCTGATGTTAACAGGGCATTGTTTCTCGATACCCTTTGTCTTTGTTCTTTTACATCGTAGGTGATTTCTCTACTGTAGTTTGCTGTGCTCTCTCTGCAGCATCTCCTCGTTGAATCGGAAGTCCATATGAATCGAGACTTTGCCCACTTATTTGTAAAACACAGTCTTTAAGATGCACTAAAGCAATGTTGTCAGTAGAGAAAGTATTATCAAGACTTAGATCAGCATCATTGTATGTGAAGGCTGGTGGATTTCTGCTGAGCGTATCAGTATCAGCTTGATCTTCTTCTTCCTCTTCGTTTACGTCATCTTCTTATTCTTTCTCTGTATTTTCAGTGTTCACACCTGATCTAGATCAAGATCTACTCTGCTTATGTCTCTTAGCCACAGGTGTCATTCGTCCAATGGCTCGCCGTTTGGGTAGCATAGTGAGTTTATTTTCCTCTAGATCGAGATAGATCTAACTAACACACACGCACGCACACACACACACACACACACACACACACACACACACACACACACACACACATACACACACATACACACACACACACACACACCTGAAAATACACATTCTTCGTCTCTTGCTCAGCCACAGGGCCACAGCACTGCCTCTAAATAAAAATCTATCACAGTACAGGTGCCTATATAACCAGACCTGATAGTATCTTTAGATCTAGAGATCTAGACCTATCACAAAGATCTACTAAGTCAGAAATTTAACCCAGGTCTTCTGTTTACGACATGAAAGTCTCAAACCGTTACACCATGGACGCCAGTTGCAAGGTTTAGGCAGAATGGGAAATATTGAATGAGTAAGGGTTAAGCTTGATAAACTGTCAAAATAGTCATGTACGTGTATGTGTCGAAGTATCTAATACAGTGATTATCGACCTAAGTCTTTATAGCCAACACCCACCTTCTAGGCTGTTTTTCTGTTGTCGTTGAGTGTCCTGGCAACAGCAGAATCGCCGAGTATTCCGATGTCTCGATTTCTCTAACGTTGAGTAAAACTGTTGAATCTTCCACCGTTTTTTAAAATGATAATGATGGGATGATATAGCAGTTTGTGATAAACAAAAGTGTAAAATTCATGAAAAAACAAACAAACTAACAACAACAACAAAAAATAAAACAAAGAATCGACAAAATTCGCCACTTGTTCAGGGAAAAAATAAGCCAACCTTCTGTTTTTTGACGTTGGTGCTGCAAACATTAACTCAAGCACCAAAATATTGTTTTTATAGCATGACCTACTTTTTGGGTACTTCGTATTGCTCACGGGGAAGGAAAAGCGTAACAACTGAAAAGACTAGATTCTAGAGTTTTTTTTAACACAATCAAAATGTGGTACCTCTCTTTTGACCACCAGTATATTATTATAATACCTGTCAACTGTCAATATCCGGGTGATCCCCACTGCCCACTAAATGACCAAATCGCCCACAAGTTGGCCATATCGCCTAGGATGTCAAGCACTGATGTAGATGTTGATGAGTACGTTTCATACTTTGGAAATATATAAGTCATGCACCTTTTCATTGATTTATTTTTTCGCTGAAAGGTTTGAATAAACCAGAATTCAGCAAAGGTATTTCCAAGTCTCACGATTAAATGACCCTTGCCCAAAAAGCTTCCCCACCAAAGAAAAAAACCCAGCAAAGAAACAAACAACCCCCCCCCCCCCCAACCCAAAAAAACACAAAAAACCTACAAAAAACAACAACAAGCAAAAAAAAAAAAAAAAAAATTAAAAAAAACTACTCAAAAATAAAACAGCCCCCCCCCCCCCCCACACACAAACCAAATCCTATTGTCATTGTTGAAAATGTGTTATGGACACTATATAATGTTTCTTTTTTCCTCACGGAACACACAAATCTCAGCAAAAGTAAGGCTACCGGTTCCTTGTAAGAAAATCCAGATCGAAAAGATAGATGTATGATATATGTAATATATGATCTTTGTTATACTTGTTATGAAACAATAGATTAGCTTTTACAAAATTGTTCTTCCCTGTCAATTACATGAGTTCGTTAAACATTCGTTTCTCTGTTTTTATCTTTTTTGATACATTTTAGTAAGGATTTCACTGGTTTTTTTTTGGTTTTTGTAAAGTGTTTTACGGCGCTCGCAACTGCATAGGTCATATGAGCGCGCGGGACACACCTAATATTTTCAGTTGGTAGGAACTTTTGAATTTTGCCCGGGTAGCGGCCGAAGCCTACTCTTATCGATTTTAGACCACCAAGGGATCTTTAACGTGCGCAACTTGCACACGGGCCCTCCGAGATTTTTCGCCCTTGTCCGAGAAGGCTAGGTGTAGATCTTTCCCACCAGAAGATCAGGGGTGTGGCAGAAAGACAGCAGTAAGGAGGAGCCAAGGAGTAGCAGTAGAAAGGCTGCAGAAAGAGTCAGGAGCCCAGAGGAGGGGGCAAAGGAGATGCGGGGGTGGGGGCAGAAAGTGGAATTGAAAGCAGACGACAGAATATTGCTAGAGAGAAGGAAAGGAGGTGAAAGGAGACAATTTTAGAGAAGAAAATTTTTCGGTTGCTACCCGGATTCGAACCCGGGACCTTTGAATGAGAGGCCAACACCTTAACCTCTAGGCCACGAGAGCCCCTGACTTCACTGTACTTGCATCAGAATAATATGATCATAATATATAATTTCCAAGAGAGTAACAAACACGAAAAAAAAGGAGAAGAGATCAGGACGATAGCTGATTGCTAGAAAAAAGAAGCAAGCCAAATCAGAGCACCCACCAACCACTCGATATTTTGTTTTCTTACCAAAGACAGGAAGCGTATGGTCGGCGTCCTCATGTTTCGTGCAGTTGGGATCGTGCTAAAAGAGGACGTATTTAATTGCCAGGATGTGAGAGTCCGTGATCTTTGATTATGTTTCTTTTTTAATGTAGGTGTTTTTACGCCCCTATCGATACAATTTAGATCACATAGGAGACGGACCTCCGACACTGCCTGTCGGGGCCAAATCGGGCTGAGAGAGATACATGTACAACATCTCAGCAGAAAGACGGAGATACTCGATAAAAATTCTCCACACCCAGGAATTGAACTCGTGGTCTCTTCTGCGCGACAGTGAATCAACGCAATCCCTACACCACAGACGCCGGAGCACAGTCAACCACGGTGATAATTTAACATGCGCACAGCATTAGGAAAATACGTGTGCTATGAATAAGAAGTACCAGCACCTATCGAGCGTTCATAAGGTTCGTTTTAAAATGTGTTACCAGAGACTCATATCATTGTACTGTAATTGTTATCATCCCGCTGATGCTGATGAAGATGACTGTAAAATTAAACCAGAACTACTACTTATAGGCGAGTAGTGCTCTCAAAATAAACAGGAGAAACAAGCAATTTGTAAAACTAAGTCTTTAATTTGGATCATGAAAACAACAACAACCCCCCCCCAACCCCCCCCCCCCCCCCACAAAATAACAAACAAAATAAAAGCACAAGAAAGCCCCGCACTGTTGGGGTGATGCTCAACACAATGCCAGCAGCATAACCCAAGACTGGAAAAATGGTCCCATATTTATCATTATATTATATTAAAAGATGTGCAAATTTTCAAAATAAATTATGCTGTTTCTGTAAAAACTAAATAGGTCTATTCCGTTCTCAAAACCAAATAATAATAATAATAATGATAAGATGCTTAAGAAAAAATACTGAACATCATAAAAAGAGAAAGGGGGAGAAGTGAAATAGTAAGAGAACACGTTAGTTCGACTTACAAGCGACTCCCATCTGATTTTTTTTGGCATACATTTATTATTATTTGATTAACTCGGTCGCACACAAATAATTCCAAAATCTGGTAACTGCGGACTAAGAGAGGATATGCGTCCCACCTCCAAGACAGCCTGGGGGAGGAGGGGGGGGGGGGGGGGCAGAACTAGAATAAGTGACAAAAGCTAGGGAAAACAAAAAACATTAGTTAATCAAAAAATCCAAAACTGCGAAATAAATCTAATCATTGTTATTGATAATCTCTTATAGATCCATTTTAATGTTGAATAATAATTTTACCTACTCACTCCATTGTTTTAGTCGATGATTGTCTGAAACGAATAAGACCAAGTAAAAGGACATGGGCCAATGACAGAAAAAAAATAATTCAAATTTTTTTTAATGGCTTGACTCCCTGCCTTGAGCATACATATTAGAGAGAAACTAGGCATAGCATTTTTTGGACATCAAATATCAGAATATGTCGAGACGAGACTGCCACCCGACAGTATAGCAGCGAGAGCATACAAACAGAGATTAGATGGTTTCCGGAAAGGGCAGGTCCGAGAGAAAATGGGTAGAGCGGTTTAGAGAAACATTCGACAAGCTGTGCAACTGTCGACCCAACAAACAAGAGAAAGGCATTTGCTCCTCCCATCGACACTAAGGGAACATAGGTCGAAAAAATTAAGTAAAAGTAAGTAAAGTTTGTAACATATTATAAGCCTTTGCTCTCTCACGAACTCAAAACAGAATTTATCAAAGTAAGTGTATTGCTGTTTCCTTAGTTGTAGGTACAGCCAACTGCTCTAGTTTGATTTTTTTCGAAACTTTTTTTTCTCCGAAAAAACAACAACATTTGTTTGAGTGGACTTTTCAAAGTTCCACAATAACCTTACCAATGTTCTTCCTTGAGAACATATGCTCAACAGCGTCAACTGTTTTTTCTAGCCCTTTGAAAGGTCCATTTGCAACATTTTCCCCCTTGTCTAGATTCACTTTAATCTTACCCTCTGCGTATTGTTTAGCCAAAGTGGCAATGTGGAGAGGGAACTTTTTAACATAGTGAGGTAGAAAAAACCCAAGGACACTTGCTGATTTGCGGAGACAGGCCATACCTACTGGCAGTTTTGATATCATTTCACTAGCGTTGGTACCCTCTGCGTTTTCGTACCCAGAAATAGCCCCAATGACAATCAGCCTTCCTTCAATTGCCAGATTCTGCAAAGAGACGTCAAACATTTCTTTACCAACACATTCGTAGACAACGTCTAATTTGTTCGAATATTCTTTCTTTATAACTTCCTCAAAATTTTCTTTCTTGTAATTGATGACGCGATCACAGCCGATGCTCTTCAGGAAGTCCACCTTTTCGGGACTAGAACATGTCCCAATCACGTGACACCCGGCCAGTTTGGCGATCTGCACGGCGAACTGACCAGTCCCCCCGGCAGCAGCGGTCACCAGGACGGTTTCACCAGCTTTCAGATTTCCTTTTTGTTCCAGCGAGATAGACGCCGTCAGTCCACTGAGCACGATAGACAGCAGGCCAGGGTCGGTAGACGGGACTGGGACGGCCTTGTCAGCTGGCACAATCACGTACTCCGCGAAGGTACCGAACTGGAGGAAGGCGACGGCTTGACCTATTTTCAGATTGGTCACTCCCTCACCGACGGCGACGATTGGTCCAATCCCCTCCAGGCCAGCAGGAAAAGGCGGTTTCATTGTGGGATCGTAGCGACCGGAGCTCAGATTGATGTCAGAGGCGTTGATGCCCACAAATTTGTTCTTCACCAACACCTGGCCAGCTTGCGGTTTGGGAACGGGGACATCCCTGATTTCTGTGACTTCACGGAAGTTGGTGCCAAGTTTGGTGATGGTGACTTGCTTAGCTGTAGCGGGAAGGGCCATGGTTGTGACTGGTTTCGACAGTTGAAGTTACTTGCCTGGAGAATAAGATAAAGCAATGAAGAAATGTTAATTTAAAACAAGAGGGGAAAAAGAAGGTTGGAAAAAAGGGGGCGGGGGTGCGTGAACTACTATAAAGCTGGGTATTTCTAAGATATCGATCATTTACTAGGGCTACAACATCCATCATCAATAGCCAATAATAAGAGATCTGATGGCTTCAAAGCGAGACGAAATACCAAGAAAAAGACAGATCGACGGAGTCACAGAGACCCTCCACAGGGACAAGAAGACGATCCAAAAGGCAACAAACAGGCCAACGTTTGACAATTGCGTCTCCCTATCGTAAAGTAAGGGGGGAAAATCAAGGCTGACAGACAGAAAATTATTATAGCATTTTGCGTCTTGACAGATGAACTTAAAGCAGTATGCATGATACAGCTTTGCCTGGGAGGTGGACATAGAGAATGCTGTTTGAACAAGTACTACAGTACTGCCCTACCTTCAATTCTTGACTTCTTTTCTATGCTCCAAAGCAGAGACATTGTTAACACACTCACACACACACACACACACACACACAAACACACACACTCACACACACACACACACACACACACACACACACACACACACACACACACATATATATATATATATATATATATATATATATATATATATATATATATATATATATATATATGTATGTATGTATGTATAGTATAAGGTTTTACGGCGCTCGCAACTGCTAAGGTCATATGAGCGCGCGAAACACAAGTTGTTCACCTCTGCGAAAGTTCACTTCACGACTGGCTAACTAATTTACTTTAAAATGCTAAAAAGTTAAAATATTCAAATTCGGTGTAAATACATTTGTGATCTAAAACAACTTTTAAGTAACAATAAAAATTTTAAATAATATCAAATTCACTCTACAACTCGCCATAAAGGCCAATGGCCTTTATAAAATCTAAAATTCTGCTGGGAACAACGACGGAAAAAATATCCTGCAATTTCTTGCATTTATAATATTTCCTTCGGATCTCTCCAAAGTCTAGACATTCTGTTAAAATGTGTCTAATGGTAAAATCTGTGTCGCATCCGAAACAGAACGGCTTCTCATCTCCCTGTAGGAGGTATTTGTGGGTCAGGGCCGTGTGTCCGATGCGCAATCGAGTAAAAATGACTTCGTCTCTTCTGGAGAGATCCGAAGGATTTCGCTGTTCTAGTTTGGGTTTAATTTCATATAATTTATTATTTTTCTGGTTTTCCCAGTGGCTCTCCCACAGACTGGAGGTGTACTTTTTGACTTCATTTCTAAAGTCAGTCTGTGGGAGAGTGTTTGTCGTTGATCCCAGCAGAAGGGATGAAGCTTTCTTCGCCAGGTCGTCTACCTGCTCGTTTCCTCGGATGCCCACATGGCTGGGTATCCATGCGAACATGTTGTTTTTTTCCTGTTTCGGATAGTGTATGGGGTGTAAGAGTGTGTAGTTTGTGAGTGAGGTGATGCAAGACGGAGAGTCAGAAAGGATAAGGAAAGATTTGTTAGGAGAATTTTCTACAGAGTCCAGTGCCATGTCAATGGCAGTGGCCTCCGCAGTGAAAATGGAGGCTTCAGGATGGAGTCTCCTCTGGTGTGTATTGTTGGGAGATAGGGCTGCGGCGCCCACTTCATTGTCTTTTTTGGAGCCATCCGTGAAGATGAGCTCCGCACCGGGGTATTTATCTATTAGTTTTTTGTATTCTGCTTTAAAAGTTTTGGTGTTTGTGCTTTCTTTGTTGTGTGTGGTCAGCTGTAAATCTACTTTTGCCTTGGTGAGGTGCCACGGAGGGAGGTCGGGGAAAAGAATTTGTTGGATGTCTTGTTTGGAAAAGTGTAAGTTTTTGAGGTCCTCAAGGATTCTGAGGCCGAAAGGTTTGATGAGTTTTTCGTTGTTTTGGAATCTGTTTCTGGTTTCTGGATTTGTTTGAAAAATGCTGTTGTGCGCTGGATTTTCCGGTGTTGAGCTCTGTTTAACTGCGTATTGTAGTGAGAGTTGTGTGCGTCTGAGTGAGAGTGGTGGAATGTTGGCCTCGGCCTGGAGGCTCTCCACCGGAGAAGTGCGGAAAGCCCCCAGAGCGAGGCGGAGTCCTTGGTTCTGTATTGGATCTAGTATTTTTAAGACGTGTGGTTTTGCCGATCCGTAGACTTGACAGCCGTAGTCAAGCCTGGACCGGACAAGGGAGATGTACAAGTGGAGAAGGTGTTTTGAGTCCCCGCCCCACTCCGGATGTGATAGAATTTTCAAAGCGTTTAACGCTTTCTGGCACCTCACACGAAGGTCTTTGATGTGTGGTATGAATGTAAGTTTTTTGTCGAAAATGACACCGAGGAAACGAGCTTGGTCCTGGACGGGAATCCTTTCCCCGTATAGTGTCAAATCCGGCTGCAGCACACGTCTGCCTGTTCGGCAGAAGTGTACTGCAACCGTCTTTGACGGGGAGAACTTGAAACCGTTGTTGTTTGCCCACGTTTCAAGTTTTTGCAGCTGCGTTTGCAGCTGCCTTTCCATAGATCTCAAATGAGGATTTTTCGATCGGCAGCATATCAAGAAGTCGTCAACGTATAACGAGCTGTCTATGCTGTTCTGGAGGGTTTTCACTATGGAGTTAATTTTAATTTCAAATAGGAGAGGAGAAAGGATGCTCCCCTGGGGGACTCCTTCCTCCTGTTGGTGGGGGTCTGAAAGGGAGGATCCGACACGAACCTGGAAGGAACGGTTCTTCAGGAAGTTGCCAATGAAGGCAGGGAGGTGACCGCGTATGCCGAGTGCGTGCAGGTCTCGAAGAATGCCGTACTTCCAGGTTGTGTCGAAGGCTTTTTCTAGGTCAAAAAAGATGGCGATCATGTGGCCTCTTTCAGCGAACGTCTCGCGTATAAAGGTCTCCAGGCGGACCAGGTGATCCAGAGTGGATCGGGTTTTCCTGAATCCGCACTGGAGACCGCTCAGCGAGCCCGTCGTTTCCAGAAACCACATGAGTCGCCTGTGAATCATTTTTTCAATTAGTTTGCAGAGACAGCTCGTTAGGGCTATAGGTCTGTAATTGGATGGGTGTGTGTGGTCTTTGTTAGGTTTGGGTATTGGAATGACAGTGGCGAGACGCCAAGACTCCGGAAAGGAGTGCGACCGCCACATGTCGTTGTATATGTGAAGTAGGAGTGTGAGTGTTTCTGAGGGTAAGTGTCTAATGATCTTGTTGTGGATGTCATCCGGTCCCGGGGCTGTGTCGCCCAGGTCCGAGATGCACGATGTAAGTTCGTCTATTGTGAAGTCTGCGTTGTAGGTTTCAGTGTTGTTTGAGTGGAAGTTTAGGTGTTGTTTTTCTCTGTTAGTTTTGACGTTTTGAAAAGTGGTGTTGTAGTTTGCTTGGGATGAGTTTTTGGCTAGAGATGTAGCTATTGTGTTTGCAATGTCTACTTGTGTTTCAGCTGTTGTTCCATCCGGCCTCTGGACGTGCCGAATGGTGTCTGTGCGTCTACCTGAGAATTTTTTAGCAATTTGGAAAACTTGATTTGAGTGGTGTCTGGCTGTTGATTTTGGAGATGTATTTTTGGAATGATTGTCTTTTGCTCTCCCTGAGGCATCTACGTGCCTCAGCTCGAGCCTTTAAATAAAGTATCTTATTTTCTATGGTGGTGTTGTTGACGGCTCTTCGATACGCTGCCTTCTTTTTCTTTACTGCGTCCTCACATTCCCAAGAGAACCAGATCTTGTTCCTCCGGGGTTTTGTTTTTGTTTTTGGAATGTGATTGTGGCATATTTCTAAGAGTTTTTCGTGAAATTTATTGTAGTTGTGGTCGAAATTGGGATTAAGAATCTTGGAACATTGATTGGCAAACCCGTCCCAGTCGGCTTTTTTGAAGTTGAAGCGTTCTGGGATCGGGTCGTTTTGGAGGCTATTGTTTTTGAGGAGAATTGATTGGGAAATGGTCCGTACGGTCATCCAGCACAGACCACTCAAGATCTGGGACTAGGTCAGGGGTACAAAAGGTGAGGTCAAGGGACGAAGTGCCATAAGTGGCTCTGTTTCTGTAAGTTGGGGATTTATCATTTAAGAGACAGATGTTATTTTGAAATAAAAAGTTTTCTATTATTTTACCTTTCTGGTCTATAGGTTTGTCTCCCCAAAGGGGGCTGTGGGCATTGAAATCACCGAGCAAAATAAAAGGTTTTGGCAGCTGAGATTTTAAGTCATTTAGTTGGGTTATTTTTAGGGGGTAAGTTGGTGGGATGTAAACTGAGCAGATCGTGATTGGTCTGTGCAGGGTGACCCGTACGGCAATAGCCTGGAGGGTCGTCTTAAGATGTACTTGTCTGTGGAGTGTGTGGTTGTCGGTGTAGATGGTGGTACCACCGGAAGCAATCTGGTTCTCCGTGTGAATGTGATGGTACGCAGTAAATCCTCTTAAGTCTATGGTTGAAGCCGGGGCGAATTTTGTTTCTTGAATACAGGCCACCCGTGGGCACAGTGTGGCCTGTAAATGTTGCAATTCTGCAATGGAAGGTCGGATTCCGCCGGCATTCCATTGCAGGACCGCCATTATGAATTTTTACTTTTTGATTTGGAGCACTTAGGCCCCGGCTTCGAAGAAACACTCTGACTCCTCCTTACGGCGGAGGCAGAGTGTTTTCTATATATATAATATAAAATATGAAACAGAGATATTTAAATATATATAATTAGATATATATTTCATCAAGGAAGGTGTATATTACTATCAAGATGTGTGATATGATCTCTTTAGTAGGAACATTTTGAATGTTTCCCCGGTGGCGGCCCAAGGCCTTCTATGCACTGGGGGTGTGGGGGGGAGGGGAGATATAGATAGACAGCCAAAAGACAAACACAAAATATAATTACCACTAGGGCTAGATGAAAAAGAATTCTCCCTGATCGTCTTCATCTAAAGCCAAAAGAGCTCAGACAACTTCATGCCTATCTACCTTCATCTCAAACCAACACAACAGTGTGTGTCTCAGTTATACCCCTTACACTCAATCACAATATAAAGAATTATATAGACATATCTATCTATCTATCTATCTATCTATCTATCTATCTATCTATCTATCTATCTATCTATCTATCTATCTATCTATCTATCTATCTATCTATCTATCTATCTATGTACATATATATAGAAATATACATATATCGATATAGATATATAGATACATCAATGCTATATTGTAGAAATACATATACATATATATATATATATATATATATATATATGGATGGAAGGGGTATAGGGGTAAAAAAGGAAAATAAATAAAGATAATATATATATATATATATATATATGTATATATATATATACAGAAATGCACAGGACTTTCGAACCCGTTCGAATATAAACGAGCTGTTCCTATTTTTCACTACTTTCACTCACTGAGGACGTGAATTCTGGTCCTTCGACAACGCTCGAAGACGCGCTATTTTGGGGCAATCTGAAAAAGAAGCATAACTGCTTTACTTTTTCGTACTAATTGTTCAGTTCAGTACTCCTCCATTTATTTGAGACTTAAAAACTTACAGGGAACCACTTGCTTAATATGAAATTACGCAAATCTATGTTTTTGATCTGTTTATGACGGTTTGAAATGTGCCGCAACATTGCCTTTGGTCTACCTCTGATCGGACGTACGTGTCTGCAACGTCCCTTATTGTTTTTGTAAGTCTTTTACGGCGCTCGCAACTGCATATTAAGGTCATGTAAGCGCGCGGGACACATTAAACATTTTTAGTTGGAGAAGAAAGGAGACAAAAGAACAAGGTTAGAGAGCAGGAACGGAGGTGAAAGGAGAATATTTTAGAGAAGAAACGTTTCCGTCTGTCAGGTTTCGAACCCGGGACCTATTAAATGAGGAGTGAACACCGTAACCTTTAGACCACAAGAGCCCCCTACTGTTTATTTAGACTCTGGCCTACTACTCGTTCCTCATTTCTCGTGTCTTCGTTCAAAGTTCGACGGCCTTGCGCAAACATTGCGATAACAAGCATTAACGCTTTACCAACGTTGCTCCTTTGCACCCTCTTCTGGACTCCTGCCGCTTTCTGCAGTCTTTCTACTGCTAATCCTTGGCTTCTTCTTTCTGCTGTCTTTCAGCCAGACCCCTGATCTTAGGGTAGGTAAGGTCTAACACCTAGCAGTCTCGGATAACGGCAAAAAACTTCGGAAGTCCAGTGTGCAAGTTGCGCACGTTTAAGATTCCTTGGTGATCCTAAAATCGATGACAGTAGGCGTCGACCGCCATCCGGGCAATGTCAAAATTTCCTACCAAACTAAAATTAATTTTTGATATATACCGTACACTCATATGACCTTATGCAGTTACGAGCGCCGTAAAACATCTACACCCCCCACGGTCCTAAAAAACAACAACAACAAAACCATCCCCACAAACAACAACCCCAAAAAAGAAAAAAAACCCCATCACCCCCCACACAA